TAGAGACAAAGCAAGTTCTTTCCTTTTGAATTCCATTTACCCAGAATTTCAAATATTTCTGGCAGTCATTTTCAAACATAAAATGTTTTTGAAACAGAGATAGATTGTATCTTCAGAAGTATCTAGATCCCAGCATGCTATGGACTGAATTGTGTCCCTGCCAAATTCATATCTTGAAGTCCTAACCCCCATGTGACTATATACTGGACATGGGGCGTTTAAGGAGGATTAAGGTTAAGTGAGGTCATAACAATAGAGTCCTGATCTGATAGAACTGGTGCCCTTATAAGAAGAAGAAGATACTGGAATTCTCTCTGCGTGTGCACGCACTGAGGAAAGGCCATGTGGGCACATAGCAAGAAGGCAGCCCTGTGCAAGCCAGGAAGAGGGTTCTCACCAGAACTCAACCTTTCTGGCAACCACACCTTAGACTTCCAGTCCCCAGAATTATGAGAAAATAAATCACTGTTTAAGCGACCCAGCCTGTAGTATTTTGTATGGCAGCTCTAGCAAACTTATACATGTGGTGTAGGTGATATTATCTTGTTTAGAGTAATTAAGGGTACAAAAGTATCGGTATGAAAATAGCATCACTCAGGGAACTCCCTGGTGGTCCAGTGGTTAGGGCTCCATGCTTTCACTGCAGAGGCCATGGGTTCGATCCCTGGTTAGGGGACTAAGATCTCACGAGCTGCAGCATGGCAAAAAAAAAAAAAAATAGCATCACTCAGAGGCTCCTCATAAGTTCAGGGGCTTAGTGGGAATCTGTTATTTTGTCTGCTCTTCCCTGACATCTTTGGGGAACTCCGCATCGCCAGTCCATAGAGTTCATGTGGAGTAGTCAATCACAATTTACTGCCCTGTGCTGGCCATGGGCTTGCTTATCATGGTACCCAATCATCCTGACAGCAGTGACTGTAACTGGCACAGCAGTGAGCACACCACATAGACAGGACCTGGCAGAGCCCTTCTCTACGTTTATATGCAGTACTTACCATGGACATTTAATACACATTGAGAGAACCTGCTTTTTCTGCTAGTCTTGCTGAGCTGGGATCATAAAAGCCTGGCTGAATGTAGGAAGCCTGACTTCCTACATAATGGGAAGGGAAGGAGTACTGACACACAAAGGAGAGCAAAGAACAGAGAGAGTGCATGTTACATAAATGCCAGATTCCAGCCATGACTCAAGCCTACTCCTGGCTCCCCAGTTAGATAAACCAGTGTATTTGCTTCTCTTTCAGCTTAAGCTAGCTTGAATTTGATTTCTGTCACTTGCACCCAAGAATCTTGACGTATACAAAAGATTCACTAGTCCCTTTGAGTCCTTTGCTGGCCAGATTTGACCAGAACCCAGGCTCAGAGTTGCTTTCATCCTCCAACTCAGACTGTGCTGATCCTTTTCTCTTCAAAACATGGGAAGGGCAGGGTTGGTTATCACCAGACTTCCCATGACCCAGAAATATGCTTTGCCTGCTCTCTCCTCCAGGTTTTCCCAGGTAAAAACCTCAGTTTTCTTATCTTTAAAATGGGAACAGTCACCTGTAAAAATACTGAATCGCTATGCTGTATACCTGAAACTAATATAATATTGTAAATCAACTATACTTTAATTTTTAAAAATTGGAAGAGTTGTTGTGAAATAATTTCATAAAGTGTCTAGCACACTGTTGAGCAGTAGTAGGTGCTTGGGGATATTAGCTCCTATCATGGAAAATTCTCTATATGGTGCCCAAGGCCCTCCCCTAGGCTGCCGTGAGCAATCTTTTCTTTATCCTCATGAAAAGCAAAAGCAATGAACAGATCGAGAGCAACATCTATTGTTTTTACAGTAAGGTCTTAGTTCCCTCCCAGAGAAAGGTTGCCTATCTGTAACAAGGGAGAAGAACCTATGTACCTAAATGCTCTGCTTAAAATCACACTTTGTTTAGAGATCATTCCTGCCTACTTTTCTTCTTCAACTCAAGAATGGGAAGAAACCATTCCTTCTGTGTCCAGGAAGGAGAGGTGAAATTAATGGTCACTGTGGCACTCAATTTCTGCTCTGAGGAAACTAACAAACAGGCCTAGCAAGCCTGCCTTCCCTGGCACGGTCACTTGGATGGGCTTGCAAAGACTTGGTTGGCTCCTGGGCAAACTCCTCTGCTGTGTGCGTTCACCAACAAATGGGAGATACCACACCCCGGGGGTGGGGGGCAGGATAGTTTGGAAAATGGAAGAAATCCACGTTCAGGCTGAAGACAGGAACAGTAGGGCTGTTACCTGAATGGTGCAGCTGATGTAATCAGGGATAAGGGAAGTGCAAAACCCTTCTGACTGATCTCAGCTTCCTGGGATCCTGCAATTTCCATTAGTTGGGATAAAAAAGAATTGCAGTACAAACTGCCCAACAGGGGAGAAGCTTCTGTTATTACTCAGGCCTTGCTAAACAACCAACCAGAGCAAGGCAATGCTTACGTAGGCTTGGCAAACCATTAAACCATCACACTCAGTGGGCCAGCCTCAGCCAGGGCGGCCAGCTTTCCTGCCGCGGACAGAGTTCTGAGTCATGTGGCCCTTAGGGAAAGCTTTCCACCACCCCTGACAGCAACATTACCCCATCTCTGCCTGGTGTCGAGACTTTCACTTCCCCTCCCGTCTGGCCCCACCAGCGATGGGAAACCAGCACTACATGTTCCAGACACTGTGCACGCGCTTAATTGGTTTAGTTCCTACCCTGCGAAGTGGGTACTTATCCCTATCATATAGAGGAAGAAACTGAGGCTTAGAGATATAGGTGACCAGTTGGTAAGTGGAAGAACTACAACACCCACATTCCTCCCCACTGCAAAAAAGTTTCCACATATTTAAGACTTTTTTTTTTGCAGTACGCAGGCCTCTCACTGTTGTGGCCTCTCCCATTGTGGAGCACAGGCTCCGGACGCACAGGTCCAGCAGTCATGGCTCACAGACCCAGCCGCTCCGTGGCATGTGGGATCTTCCCAGACCGGGGCACGAACCCATGTCCCCAGCATCGGCAGGCGGACTCTCAACCACAGCACCACCAGAGAAGCCCTTTAAGACTTTTGTTCCTAAGGCCTGCAATGAGGGGAATAGGCCAGCACACCCCCAATTAACGTTATGGGCTTCGTCTTTCTAATAACCTTCATCTCTTTCACTCTTAAACAGAAAGCTATCCTATGAGCACAATTCAAAATACTTACTCTCCCGAGAGAGAAGAGACTGTTCTCCAGTGTTTCCTCAATCAATCTGAAGAGTGCCTGGTACATCATTCCTCAGTAATTGTAAGCCGCCTTCATCTGCATCTGTTCATTTGCTGAACAGGTCAGGCCTCTTTTTGCAACATCCTACTGTCCTCAGAGTGGCCTGCAGCCCTTATTGTTATCCCTCAGTTGACCTGGCCACAGACCAAAGCAGATGGTCCAGCTCTGGGGGTTGAGACCTCCTCTGGTTTCCCCACTCCAAGACCAGTTAGGAACCTGCCATAGTCCATGCTTCTTGCTCTTCCATACAAATGATACCTAACTGCACCTTTCATCACAGCGCTTCTTGAGAAACCTCTGGTTTGCAATGTTCTGAAAACTTTTCAAACAACCATCACTTGTGCTTCCACTCAGAAGCTGAAGAATCAGCCTGGGAGGAGAGAAAGTCAGGGCGATGTTTGTTGTCCTGTGATTGCTGCATTTATTTCACTAATTCCAGTTATTGGCAGCAGGATGGGCATAAATGGTTGGTGTTTGCTTCTTAATTGGTTTAGAGCCTTCGCTCACTCTGTGCCCAGTCTCATTCATCAGTAACTGGAGACAGCTGTCTACAAGGGATTTTTTTAATGGTATTTTAACGTCATTTTACTTTCCTAGAATGTCAGTTGGACGGGCAAGGAAATTTCCCCCTAGAGTCCTTGGAGGCTGTTCTGAGCTGAAATAACCGTCACCATGGTCGGCTGAGCTCTAAATGAAAAACAGAGTTATACGTCAAGTTCATATTTTAGGGAAGAAAATGTGCAAACCCACACCGGCACCTCTGCCAGCATGATCTCAAGCTTTAGCCTCAAAGCCGCAGAGTGACGACTGAGGGCCAGAGTCACTCATGGCCATCAGTAAGGGAGCCGAAGTTCAAGAGAGGGACAGAATGAATAATGGTGACTAGCTTTCTGTTCACCCACTGTGGCAGATTAGAAGGCCAAGAGAAGGCGGGAGTGATGACATTTTTAAATGGATTCATTTTGTGAGAAGACTGCTGGGTGAAAAGCAGTGGGTCAGGGCTTATTAGAAACCACAGCTGAAGCCATAAGAAAAAAAAATAAAACACTGTAGAAGAATAATGATGACGAGAGATAAAGCAGCTTGACAAAAGCAGTTCACAAAACTGAACGTACAATATTGTCACTGACTGGTTTGGCGTCTGTATTTTAAAAAGCTTCCCAGGTTGTTCTGATGCACTGTTGGCATTGAGAACAGCTAGTATATGCAGAGAAAATTTAAAAACCAGAGATAGCTTTATGGGGTATTTCTGATTTAATTTTTTTCCTGTGGTTTTTCTGTTTCTACATATTGTTCTATGAACATGCATTACATCTACCATCAGAAAAGGTTATTAATAAAAATTGTAACTGAACTTATTAGCAAAAATCGTCCCAGGCAACAACAAGAAATAATAATAACAACTAACATTTATGAAGTGCTTCCTGAGAGCCAGACACGGGTTTCTGTTTTTTGGCTGCACGGAATGTGGGATCTTAGTTCCCCGACCAGGGATCAAACCCATGCCTCCTGCAGTGGAAGCACAGACTCTTAACCACTGGACCGCCAGGGAAGTCCCAGACATGGTTTTATTAATGTTGACACTTAGTCCTTACAACAACTCTGACCGAGGCACTAGTATTTCAGCCATTTTACTGATGAGGAAAGCAGAGGTCCAGGAGGTTCTAGCTCAGACAACAAGAGAGTGACAGACAAAGTACGAACCCAGGGACAGTTACTTGAGAACCTGAGGCTCACCTTTACGTGCTGCTTTGCTCCAGCTGGAAGAAGTCCTGTGTGGTCCAAAGGGCTCCCCTCCAGTCACACCATCATGGGCCCTCTGGATCCTGGGCCTCACCTGTGTGTGCTTTGGGATTCCCAGAGGTCATGGGAAGTTTCCTCTCTGCCTTCCCATCAATGTGCTATTTCTTCCGGAGACTTCCCAGAGTTTGCTACTCCCCTCAAGGGATAACTCTGTCACCATGCAAGCTAGAGAAAGGGAAAAAGAAAGAAGAAATTGAACATTGCCAGATCCTGGCTGGCTATTAAGACGTATCATAAGAATCCTTTTTAAAAAGTCTTAATTGGTTTTTTATTGGAGAGCAGAATGGAGTTCTATGAGGTGCCCCAGGCCATTATACATGAGGGTACGGATGTGAAATTCTACAGGGTTTTCCCCTGGAGAGAGGACAGAGTGCTCATCAGATTATTTCCCCATTTCGCAGATGGTGGTGTCAAGTCATTAAGAAACTTTGTGAAAGAGAAAAAAAGGAGTTGATGCCCCAGCCAGAACCAAAGACCTTTCTAGTCCACAAGCAGTTTGTGGATTTTAAAAGATTTTTAAAAATCAGCAGCTATTTAAATTCATTCTCCTTCATGGTAAGGTTTCCGATAAAACACAGCATGTCCAGTTAGATTTGAATTTCAGATAAATAATTTTTTGGTAAAAGATGTCCCAAATGGTGCATGGAACATCTTTATACTAAAAAATTATTCACTGTTTAATTTTAGATAAACTTTAACTGGGAGTCCTATACTTTTATTTGTTAAATATGACAGACCTATTTCATGAGAAACATTTTATTTTCTCCTTGGAGACTGTTTTCCCTTCTCAGTGTCATTAGCTCAGTGATTTGAAGAAAAATAGACCAGAAAATTAATCCCAGCCCAACCTTTTGTGCCAAACACCCACTGAGCCAACTCCTCTGGTAGTCAGTAAGCGTTACATCTTCCAAAGGCACACATGCACACACACCTTACACACATGCATTCACATACACACACACACCATCAGACATGCACAGGCACACATTTTCTCATATATGTATATATATGCACACATGCAGGGTACAAATAGTTTCTCCTAACATTTTAAATTGCAAATCCCTCACTCTCTGCTCAGATTTTCATGGCTTTCCAAAAACATTTTTTTGGGGGGGGCGGGGTCAGTTCTTGTCTATTCAAGGAGACAGTCACGTCTCCAGCTTATTTTGTATGCCGGGCTACACTGATTGGGCTTCCCACAGAGAGGGTTGGCAATAAGACCTAATCGCTCTCTCTTTTTTTTTAAATTTTATTTATTTTAGTTTTGGAAGCGTTGGGTCTTCGTTGCTGTGCACGGGCTTTCTCTAGCTGTGGCGAGCGGGGGCTACTCCTGGTTGCGGTGTGCGGGCTTCTCATTGCGGTGGCTTCTCTTGTTGCAGAGCATGGGCTCTAGGCACGTGGGCTTCTGTAGTTGTAGTGCACAGGCTCAGTAGTTGTGGTGCGCAGGCTCTAGAGCTCAGGCTCAATAGTTGTGGCGCATGCGCTTAGTTGCTCCGCGGCATGTGGGATCTTCCCAGACCAGGGCTTGAACCCGTGTGCCCTGCATTGGCAGGCAGATTCTTAACCACTGCACCACCAGGGAAGCCCAAGACCTTATCTCTTGTATTTCAGAAAATTTGAATTTTTCTTTTCTTGCCATTGCATTAAACTGCCTATTTTAGCGAAAAGGGGATGATAGTTGTCTTATGGTCAGACACTGAATGCAACTTAATAACAAGGAAAAATACAAACTGCAAATTGAAAAATTGAGCCATGTAATATAAATATTTGAAAATGAGAGAGAAGAAAAAAATTTAAAGTATTTAAGAAGCAGTATAGAATAGTGGTTAAAAGAGTAATTCCTATAGCTAAGCTACTTGAGTTACTAGCTGGACAAGTTACTTAACTTTAGATGTAAAGTGGAAATAACATTTTCTGCCTCATGAGGTTGTTGTGATGTTTAAGTAAATATATAAAAGATGTATGAAATAGTGGCTGACACATATTATTTACCATTACAATTACCTCTTATTTGCCATACACAGGGGTAGCCTATTTACATATATAATTCCATTCAATTGTCAAATGAATGTGAGATACATGGACATAAGGAAACTGAGGCTCAGAGAGGTTAAGAGACTTGCCCGAGGTCACACAGCTAGCATGCAACAAAGCCAAGATTTAAGTACTAATCTCAGTACAAAGCCACTGTTCTCTTGATTACCCAATTTTAAAATAACAAGTGGATACTGGGCATATACCCTGAGAAAACCACAACTCACAAAGAGACATGTACCACAATGTTCATTGCAGCATTATTTACAATAGCCAGGACATGAAACCAATCTAAATGTCCATTGATGGATAAAGAAGATATTGCACACATATACAGTGGAATATTACTCATCCATAAAAAGAAACAAAATTGAGTTATCTGTAGTGAGGTGGATGGACCTACAGTCTATCACACAGAGTGAAGTAAGTCAGAAAGAGAAAAACAAATACTGTATGCTAACGCATATACATGCAATCTAAAAAAAAAAACCATGGTACTGATGAACCTAGTTGCAGGGCAGGAATAAAGAGGTAGAAATAGAGAACAGACTTGAGGACATGGGGTGGGGGAAGGGTAAGCTGGGACGAAGTGACAGTAGCACCGACATATATACACTACCGAATGTAAAATAGTTGGCTGGTGGGAAGCAGCAGCATAGCGCAGGGAGATCGGCTCAGTGCTTTGCGATGACCTAGAGGGGTGGGATAGGCACGGTGGGAGGGAGGCTCAAGAGGGAGGGGATATGGGGACATGTGTATGCATATGGCTGATTCACCTTGTTGTGCAACGGAAACTAACACAGTATTGAGAAGCAATTATACTCCAATAAAGATCTATTTAAAAAAATAAATAAATAAAGTCACGGGGATGTAATGTACAGCACAGGAAATAGTCAATAACACTGCAATAACTTTGTATGGTGACAGATGGTTACTAGACTTAGTGTGGTGATCAATCTGTAACACAGATAAATCAAATCACTATGTTGTACACCTGGAACTAATACATATTGTATGTCAATTATACTTCAATAAAAAAAGAATACATCTTTTAAAAAAATAAAATAAAATAAAAGTGGAAAGTACACAGGTGGCCAGGTAGTAGCTCTTCAGGAAGGAGACAGAATCACGGCTATGGTCGCTGCTTCTGTGGAGTTGGGGGGTGAGTGTCAGGAGAGGTTTAGACTGGTGCATTTGGTGGAGAGTACAGAACCTTTTGTTTAGTTACAGACCTCACCCAAACATCTGCCAACCAGGTTAGGACCTTACTTTCTTGTTACCTCTCTAAATAAATCCCCAGAAGGTGGAAAGTCCTGATCCCGGGCTCTGCCTGACTCTCCATCATTAAGGCAATATAAGGCAGGGTTGACGCGCCAGCATTGGGTGTGTTCTAACAGTAGCCCCAAGGACTCTGTCCTTGACTCACAACTGTCTACTCAGCTTTTCCACTTGGATATCTAATACACATCTCAGACTTAACAAGTCCAGAACAGGATTTTATCCCCAAAACTGGCTTTACCTCTAGTGGCCCTAGTTCAATAGATGACAACTCCATTCTTCCAGTTGAGGAGACCTAAAGATGTGGAGTTGTCCTTCATGTATCTCTTTCTCGTGCCTCTGATATCCAATCCATTGGCCATCCCTCATCCAATCCTGATGGTCCTACCTGCAAAATACATCCAGAATCAGACCACCTCCCTCCATCTCCACCCCTACCATCCTGGTCCATGCATCTCATCTTCATCAGGATCATTGCAGTAGACTCGTAGCTGATCTCCCTGCTTCCACCCTTGCCTCCTGCCATGGTGTAGTCTTCACACAGCAGCCAGAGTACTTTTGTTAAACATGCCACAAATCACCGCACTCCTCTGCTCAAACTCCTCCAGAGTCTTTCATCTTGGAGAGCCTGAAAAGCCCGTCATGATCCACAGCTCTCCCCCAGCTCTCTTGGACCTCCCCTCACACCACTAACCCCAGCTCCCTCTCCCTTAACCTGCCTTATTTTTTTCACAGCATTTATCCTTTCCTGATGTGCTCTATTCATCTATTTGCTTACTGTCTCTACCCTCTAGAAGGGAAGATCCATGTGGATAGGGATTTTGTCTGTATTACTGACTGCTATTTCTGTATCCTCAGGGCCTAGAAGACGATGTACACACAGCAGGTGCACAATAAATATTTGGCGAATGAGTGAACAGAGAGAGCCTTGTGTCGGCTGAACAGGACACCTCTGCTGACTGCTTCAGCTTCCCTACCCTAAAATCAGCCTTTGAGAGGACTCTCCATTCTGCATTCTTTTCCACCTTAGGAGCCAAAACTCCAGGATGATCCTGAACAAATCTTTTCTGGCTGGCTTGCTTCTGTGTTTTGTAGCTCTGCCTAGTTGGGTTGGGCAGAACAGACTGATGGACAAAGCCACGTGCAAGGCTCCCGGCAGGTCTCCAGCTCGCCATGTGCTCTCAATGGAAACATGTCTGGGGACACTATTCTAAAGGCTCCAAACCAACGCAGCAAATGATGAAAACCTCATCGCTCAAGTAGAGAAGAAAATAAATCCATCCACCCCGATGCCCACTTGCATGGAAACTCCGCATTAGTTCAAAGGGCCAGTACTGGCAATACTTTCGGCTTTTATTACCCTCTTTTGTCGTTCCAGGGATTGTGTTTGGCACATGCTGGGAGGAGGTGGCCTTTCAAATTGAATGCACCAAGCAGGAAGCTTTCCAAAGACCAAATTAATTACCTTCAGCAGCATCTGAACAATTATTATTTTGTGAGGAGTTTGCCAGTCAGAGACTTTGGCACATCCATTAGGGACCCTGAAACCATGCCAAGGACTCAGCCTCTCACTGCAGAAATCCCTTCACCCTCCCCAAATAAGCAAGGCTACTAGAGAAGGGCTTTGCTGACCCAGGTGGGAGGCCTCACCCAATCCTCTGGCTTCTGCGGCATCTCCTAACAGCTGAAGTGTTGCCTACAGAAGCCTAGCACAAACACTGAACACTGTAAGGGTTGAACACTAGAATATGCAGCATCTAAATGTTCAAGCATCTCTTCCTAAAAGGATTCAGGTATATCCAATCGTACTGTGTTAATTAATCATTTCTCCAGAATTACACTGGCAAAACTAT